AAGAAATCACCCCCCCAGGGGGATGGCCACGCTGCAATCCCTTCTCCTCCATTCTCCTCTTGGGATCTTGGACATGCACGCACACGCAGCCGGCGTGAGTTTAAGCCACCGGGTCCGGGACTCGAACCGCAGTCGACTACATGGGAGTCCAGTGACATAGCCATTATGCTAACTGCTGGTCCCCCATAGAAAATCTTCATTCCCTGAAAAATCTAGTTCGCTGGAGCCATGTGGAACCTGCCTCTTCTACCGCTAGCTCGTTTGCTGAAGGCTGAATTATCAGTAGAAAATCTTCATTCCTTGAAAAATCTAGTTCGCTGGAGCCATGTGGAACCTTCTTCTGAAGGCCTCGCCTCTTCTACCGCTAGCTCGTTTGCTGGAGGCTGAATTATCAGTAGAAAAACTTCATTCCCTGAAAAATCTCCTTTCACTGTTTTTCTTGAGATCTTTTCCTTCTCATACAGACTATGTCTTGCAATTCTATGTTTGGGTTCATTTTTCTTTTTATAATCCAAGGAATCACAAATCATGCCAAAACTGGTTGTCTTCCCACCACCAAAATGGGTTCAGAACTCAAACACAAAGATGACATCTGGTATGATCTTGTAAATCTTGGCTAGTTTTCCATAAGTTTCTTATTTCTTAAATTTTATTCATTCTCATTATTTTATTTTTTTTTATTTTATTGAAGTTGACCAGAGGGACATAGAGAAGAAAATTAAGAAAGCAAGCCGCCAGGTCCGGGACTTGAACCATGGTCAGACATATGAGAGTCCAGCTGCCTTAATCACCACACCACCTGCCAGCCCCCCAAATTTCTGTCTTAGGTACTGTTGCCTTCCAGGATGAAGGACATCAATGAAAATTTGTTCCCTCTGAAGTAGTCAGTTGGTCTTGAATTTCCAGCTACAGATACTACCAGGGAGGAAAAGAGCAAAAGTTCACATTCTTGAGGTCATCTCTGTGGCTACATATTCCTCTGTCTGCAGTTTGAATCTCCATCTTGATCAGCTTGAAACACTGGGCATGCATGTGAGTTCCAAAGATTAATTGGGCCACAAGACTGGAGGAAGGGGACTGCAGAGTGACCTGACCGTGTGCAGGGTGCTCTTCTCTCTCTGTCTTTGTACTGTGCCTGTTCATGCACTCTATAAGGAATAAAGAAAAAAAGTTTACATTCTTTATTCACTTCGGAAATTTTATTCGATCTGTTGTTGCCAAGTAAACTGGTAAAAAGAGTATAGATCAGTAACAGTAGGTGGCATGGTGGTTTAGGTGTTGGACTCCCACATAGTCAACTATGGTTTGAGTCCTGGAACCAGTGGCTTGAAAAATCACACCAGGGGGACCAGCAGTTAGCATAACGGCTATGTTGCTGAACTTCCATGTAGTTGACTGCAATTTGAGTCCCGGACCCAGTGGCTTAAACTCATGCCGAGCGCATATGTGTGTGTGTCCAAGATCCTGAGAGGAGAATGGAGGAGAAAGGATTGCGGTGTGGCCATCTCCCCTGGGGGGTGATTTGTCGCTTTCTATCTCTCTGTCTTTCTGGTGATTGCACACTCCTATAGCAAAAACCTCTTCAAAAAACAAACAAAAAAAAATCACATCAGGCATGTATGCATGTATGCCCAAGATCTAGGGAGGAAAATAGAAGAGAAGGGATTGTGGCTTGGCCACCCCCCCGGGGGTGGGGTTGATTTCTCACTTTCCTAAGGGAAAAAAATGTAGACCGAGGTGTATTTTATTTACTATTTCTTTGTTCTTCCCAGTTCCCTTTACATTTCATATAATGCTCTTTTTAGCCAGCAGAGAACACTAGGGTCTACTAAGGAACAGAACTACAGTGGAAATGTGGCTGTTCTAAGATGTGATTGTCAAAAGATCACATTTTTTTTTTTAAGTTTTTTTAAGTTTATGGTTCTTGTGCTCACCAGAGACAGAGAAAAAGTGAGAAATCACTCCCTAAGGAAATGGCCACACCACAATTCCTTCTCTATTCACCTCTTGAGATATTGGGAACACACACACATGTCCAACATGATTCTCAAGGAGCCAGATCTGGGACTCAAACCACACAATCAGCCATGGGGAATCCAGCTGCTTCAACCTTAATACTACCTACGGGTCCTAAAAGGTCACTTTTTAATGGTTCTCCAGTTATTATTTCAATCATGCTCCCTTATGTCATATGACTTTTCATGTTTGAAAGAAACCAGTCATTTAAGGGCAAAAAAAAAAAATCTATGGCATTTAATTTTTGTTTGTATTTCATCTTTAGTTTGAAGAAAAAAAATTGAGAATTATAATCAACTGCATTGCTTAATGTCTGTTGAGCTATCATCTACTTATACTACTGTGTAAAACCCTGCAAAAAGGTGTAGTCCCTATTATCTACGAAATACTGTTATATTTGAGGAATGAAACAGTTTATTATAGGCTTAAATTTTTTTTTTCCTAACTCCTCAGTTTGCAGGCCTTTCTGATATATCCATCTCACAAGATATTCCTATAGAAGGAGAAATCACCATTCCTATGAAGTCTCGCATTCGGGAATTTGATAACTCCACATTAAATGAATCTGTTCAGAATACCATTGTAAGTAAGACTAATTGAGAGAACTTCTACTCGGTATCATGGGACTATATAACTAACTGCATTTTGCAATATGTTCATTTTTAGGTCAGTGTTTTTCATATTAAAATTTAAGATTCTTCCCCAGAAAATAATTTGGTAGTCTTTTAGGAGAGCAGCCTGGTTATAATGGCTATTAAGAATCTTAAAATGTCCAAAACTTTTTTTTTTAGATTTTTGCCATAGGGTGCTTATATTTACCAGAGAGAGACAGAGAAGGGCAACTTGAGAAATCATCACCTGGGGGGATGGCCATGCCACAATCTCCCTTCTCCTCCATTCTCCTTTTAGGATTTTGGACATGTACACACATGCACCCAGTGTGATTTTCAATCCGCCAGGTCCAGGATGTGAACTGTGGTTGGCCATGTGGGAGTCCAGTACATTAACCACCACACCACCTTGCTGGCCCCCAAAATGGCCAAATCTTTTTAAACTAATAATTCTACATCTTCACTTATGGTATAAAGAAAAAAATTTAAAGTTAAACTTTAGGCACAGGAAAATATCAGCATACAGATGTTTTAATTATAGCATTCTTTGTAATAGGGGAAAGTTTGAAACAACTTAAATGAACAACAGGTGAGATGTTGGTTAGGTAAATTATGTTGCATCTATGTGGTGGAATGCTAAACAACTAATAGAATTATGTGTGCAAAAAAAAATTTAATAACATGGAGAAATTTCTAGATGAAAAAGCTAGGACAGAATGAACTATAATTTGAGAGGTTATATTTGTACTACTGAACCCTTCTTCAGATGTCTTGATTTTTTTTAATCTTCTGGCATTCATTTACGAGTTAAATTAAGGGTGTTAGAAATAAATTGATCTTACATATTGTAAAAAATGTGGTAACTAGGGAGCAGGACAATCAGCCCTTGGGACCTCATCATGTATGAACCGAATGTCATATGCTCTTTTGCATAGCAGATTTTTATAGTGCCATTATTTTAGTTTCCTTAAGTAGCATATTGGGATGGCTATGTTTGCTTTTTTATAGAGTTTTCAAAATTAACGATAAAAATAGAACTGGTAGGGAACCAGCAGTTAGCGTAATGGCTATGTTGCTGGACTCCCACATATTCGACCGCGGTTCGTGTCCCGGACCCGGTGGCTTAAAACTCACGCCGGGCGCGTGTGCGTGCGTGCCCAAGATCCCGAGAGGAGAATGGAGGAGAAGGGATTGCAGCGTGACCATCCCCCCTGGGGGGTGATTTCTCGCTTTCTGTCTCTATGTCTCTCTCTGTCTGTCTGGCGAGTGCACGCGCCCTACAATGAAAATCTCTCAAAAAAAAAAAATAGAACTGGTAGATGTAGGATGTAGGAAAGTGTTAGACATTGGCTTATTGAGGTAACGAGAAAAGCATATGCTACCTCTCAATTAAGAATTTACAGGAGATTACAGTAAAAGAAATTTTCACAGATGAAGTGAGTGAGGTACCCAGTAACCTTGGTCATCACAGTAAGACAAGTTATTTATGTCTTTCAGATGCGTGATCTAAAAGCTGTTGGGAAAAAATTCATGCATGTTTTATATCCAAGAAAAAGTAATACTCTTTTGAGAGATTGTAAGTATACAAAGTTTTTGAGAATTTGCTTCATCTCACTAGACCTTGATAAGTACTCTATAAAGCAAAGATTCTGTGTTAATAAAGACTAAGATGGTTTTCCAGGATGAAAACACATGTCACTGAGTGTAAAAGAAATTTTGGGGAGAAATTAAAACTTTAGAATCAAATTTCAGATGTTAGAGGATTTTGTTCATTATATTGTCTTATTAAAACTTTAGAATCAAATTTCAGATGTTAGAAGATTTTGTTCATTATATTGTCTTCATCAATAAATATAAACTATGTATACTAACCTGGAAAATGGTATAATATACACCGATAATAAATATTTCTGGAAGCTGCTAACACATAGGGACTTTGTTCAGCCAGAGAACTAACAGTCTCCAAGAGAAAGTTAAATGTTTAAATGTTAAGTTAGAATAATGGCACATACACATTAACAATTAACAAATTAATAATATCTTTAGACATTTCTATTTTCAAAACTATCATTTAGTCTGATGACTGCTTTCTTTGTTAAGAGCTCTATTAAAACAGTGCAATAAATTATTTAAAAAGTTTTTCTTAAAAATTTGCACTTATTTGCCTTTATTTTCAAGAAGTCTTGTTTTTTCTATTACCCTTTATCAAAAAAATCAAATCAGTAGCTTGAGAATAGTAATAATGGCTCTCATACATGGGTATACCTTTTATTTTAGCAGAGTTTCAGCTATACCACAGGATGTCAATTATGTGGCAAGTATGTCATCACTGTGTAGAGACTGGATGCAGTGTCAGAATCTTTCTCAATACAATGCACTGTATATTAGAGCTGACTCCTGATTTGAAACTGAATTGTTACCACTGATGTAGTAGAAAGAACATGGACAAATATTGGTTTGAATAATGGTTCTATCACTAGGTGTGTGGTCTTGGATAAGCTAGTTAACTTTTCTGGGGCTCATGTTTCTTCTTCTTTTAATGGGGAGGTAATGACATACCTTGCTGGTAAGGATTAGATAAGATAATACATAAACATCACCTGGCATAACATCTGGCATTTAGGGACCAGCAGTTAGTGTAATGGCTATGTTGCTGAACTCCCACGTAGTTGACCGTGGTTTGAGTCCTGGACCTGGTGGCTTAAACTCACACTGGGTACATGTGCGTGCGCATCCAAGATCCTGAGAGGAGAATGGAGGAGGAGGGATTGTGGCATGGCCATCCCCTAGGGGGTGATTTATCACTTTCTGTCTCTCTGTTTCTCTTTCTTTCTGACAAGTGCACGCGCCCTATAGCAAAAACCTCTTAAAAAATATCTGGCATTTAGAAGTCACTCTGCAAATGGTAGTTGTTATTCTAGCATAATCTCTTCCCTAATGCACAGTCATACACAATATCGTTTTTATTCCTTACGATGACCTTGTGAAGTAGGAGTTACTATTTCTGTTTTGTAGATGACCGACATGAATCTCAGAGAAGACTCGTCAAGATGATACAGGCAGGATTAGAACCCAGTTTTCGAGTTCAGTGCCCTTCCCATTTTACAACTGTTATCTTAGATGTAAAGATATCTTTTCAGCTGCTGCAGTGGCTCAGTTCAAAGCAAGGTTGTCCCAGTTACAATACAGAATTAGTATGTGAGAGAGTCTTTAAGAAGTTCATGGAAAACATATATAATGAAAGATCTTTAAACAGATTTCAAAAATTTTTTTACCAAAATAAACTTGTACATTAATTTCATTTTCCCTGGACTTTTTGGAGTTCCTTCATATTATTTTGCTGATTAACACTGATTATTAGCTGTGTCATATGTTAAACTCTATTCCCAAAACTTGCAGGGGTAAAGGGGTAGGCTGACAAAAAAGATATAAGCAAGTAATGGTCAGAAATTTACATTTTTGTTCTGCCCTGTTATTAAAGCCTTAGGCAAAATGGCAGGGAACAAACCTAAAATAGTTAGGGAAAAACATGAGATACTACTTTATATAGGATGGCTGCTTAAAAAAAAGTAGAAAATAAGTGTTGACAAGGATGTAGAGAAACAGGAGCCCTTGTGTATTGTTAATGAGAATGTAAAATGGAGCAGTTGCTGTGGAAGATAGTATGTCCGTTTCTCAAAAAATTAAACATATAATTACTATATAGATATATACCCAAAATAACCGAAACCAAGGACTTGAGTGTATTTCTACATGCATATTCATACTAGCATTAGTCACAATAGCTGAAATGTGGAAACAACCTATGTGCCCACTGATGGGAACACATGAAACACAAAATGTGGTATATATCACTTTCTGATAGAATATTATTCAGCCTTAAAAAGGAAGGAAATTCAGACATACTACAATATAGATAAACCGTGATTACATTGGTTAAATGAAATGAACCAGGCACTAAAGGAGACAGAGGAGTCTACTTATATTAGGTAACTAGAGTAGTCATATTTGTAGAGATAGAAGATAGAATGATGATGGCCAGAGTCTTATGGGGGTGGGAATGGGGAGTTACTGTTTAATAGAGTTTTAATCTGGAAAGGTGAAAAAAATCCTGGAGATGGATGGTTTTGATGGTTTCAGAAGGTGAATGTACTTAATATCACTGAACAACACTTAGAAATGGTTAAAATGGGGGAACCAGCAGTTAGCGTAATGGCTATGTTGCTGGACCCACGTAGTCGACCGCGGTTCACGTCCCGGACCCGGTGGCTTAAAACTCACGCCGGGCACGTGTGTGTGCGTGCCCAAGATCCCGAGAGGAGAATGGAGGAGAAGGGATTACGGCGTGACCATCCCCCCTGGGGGGTGATTTCTCGCTTTCTGTCTCTATGTCTCTCTCTGTCTGTCTGGCAAGTGCACACGCCCTATAGCGAAAATCTCTCAAAAAAAAAAAAAGAAAGAAAAGATGAAATGGTTAAAATGGTAAATTATATGTTATATATTTTACAGCAATGAGAAAATAGCTAAGCATACTGTTATTGTTTTTTTATGAATTAAAACCAGTGCATGAAAAAAACTGTATTAATGTCATTGTATTTGAATTCAGTTTTTCAGTTGATAAGTTAAAAAGATTTATGATTGATAATAGTTTATTATTAGAGTGGTAGGTTTATGAATTTCGTTATATCTGTTCCAAACTTTCTGCACTATTGTCAAAATTACTTGTATCATTAGAAAAAACAAACACAATATAAGTTTGTACATATATGTAACTCTGTAAGGTAACATTATATACATATGAGGAAAAAGTTTGAATTAGTTGAGGAAGATAATTGTGTTCTAAGTTGCATGTTACTGAACTGTTGGCATACTAAATATTAGCTACTGCCTGAGGGTCACTTTGTGTTAGACCTGATATTGGTAGAACTTTTTATAGTTTTCAGAAAGCTTTCATATATTGTTTAAGTTTAACCTTGCAAAATTACCAATATTGACTGTGTTTTCCATCTAGAAGAGCAGCAATTCCATATTAGCTCAATATAATAATTTTAAAAGGGAAGCAGTGTAGCAGAGTGGAAGGAACTCTGGACTAAGAATCAGAACTGGTTCTATCTCCACATAGAAACTTTGGCAAGTTATTTCCTTCTCAGCATCATTTTTCTTATTCATGAAATAAGTATGATTAGACTTGCCTTGTCTAATATAGCCTCTGATTGGTGAAGTATCTTGGCTGTAGTCTTCTTTTTGAGGCTGCAGGGTGGTCTATCTAGATCTGACTGCTTGCCCGTGAATATGGCTTAGTAGAGGGGAGAGAGATGGTTTGTGGAATATGAAGTGAACAAAACTTAAAGGCTATGTGAACTTCTTTCAGAATTGGGGAACAGGGATGGCAGATACAGAATCGGGGGAGGTAGGAAAGCTTGAGTAGACTTGTCTAAAGACCAATAATGAGAGAGGTAGATATTGGAAAAAGATATGAAATACTGCATATTTGCTTTCTATCAGTCTTCTGTTTATTCTTACCTTGTAGGGGATTTGTGGGGCCCTTTGATCCTCTGTGTGATGCTTGCATTGTAAGTACTTCATTTTCTTTCTTTGTTATTTGAGGTAGGCTAGACTTTTCTGTGGAGTTTCAAAATTGTGAAGAATTTTGTTTTTGACAAATGGTGAGCAAACTCGCCAAAGAAAGGTAGAGAAAGAGAGAGAGAGAAGGAGAGGGATAAAGCATTCCCTCAATGGGGCGTGATCACACTGCAGTCCCTTCTCCATTTTTCCATCCTGTCAAAGTTTTGATCACACATGCACACATTCTTGTTATGGTTTTCAAACCACCAGGGCTGGATTCAAACAGCAGTCAGCTGTGTGAGACCCAGCTTCCTTAACCACTAGGCCAGCCCAAAACTGAGAAGAATTTTGACTGAATATTTTATTTAGGCCTTCTATGACATATTATACTTCTCATGTATTTAAACCTAAAAAGTCAGGAGCTTTCTAGATCCACTTTTTTAAATGATGGAATTAAATGTATAAATTATGCCTGCCTTCATTTACCAATGAGTTCTTAGTCTGTTTTAGTCATGTCTGTTCAACAAGCACTGTATTTATTCTCAGGCATCTCCCCATTATTAACCTAAATGAATGAAATATAGGTATAAGCACTGTTTATAAACATAATTCTTTTCTATTTTTTTCATCTTTTTTCCCCCACAAGAGTAAGAGAGAGGCAGAGAGAGAAAGACAGGTGCTTTCAACATCGTCTTATGCCAAATGCCACATTTCTCTCCCTTAGCATTCCCAAATAGTCAGGATCATGGGCCTGTGTGCCCTGCATATACAGGTCAACTGGGAAACCAAACCTACAGTCTTCCGCCTTGTCTCGATCCAGGATCACTTGAGCAGTAAACTACTGCTGTACCATTTCACCATCCCACGAACATAATTATTTTTAAGTCTTACTAAAATTATGAATGAAAATAAATTTGAGAGAATAGAAGTAATAAAAAGCAAGATGATATACAAAGTATTATGCTTTCCATAAGCATTGTATGTAAAAGGGGAGGACAGAAGAAAGGAAAGTTGCACTGCAGAGGGGTGTATAATAATCAGTGATAGAGAAGAAATATACCTCACCAGGGGGCCAGCCTATAGCCTGGCAGTTGAGGTGGCTGGATCACACTGGGTGAGTACATGTGTACATGTCCAAATTCCCAAAAGGAGGGAGAAGTAGAGGAGAAAGGATTGCAGCATGACCATCCTCTGGGGGTGGGGGGGAGGTGCTTTCTTGCTTTCTATCTCAGTTTCTCTGGTGAGCGCATGTGCCCTCTGGCAAATTTTAAAAATAAAAATACAGCACTAGGATTCAGTTGGGTTCTGCTATCAGCTACTATATGACTTAGGGCTACAAATAATCAAAGTTTGTATAATGATTTCTTCCAGCTTACAGGAAACTTTAAAATACCTTCTCAATTGTATTCTAACAAGAATTCAATATTATTTTTCTTTCTAAAAAATAAACTCAGGAGGACCATCAGATGGCGTAATGGTTTTTATCACTGGACTCTCACACAGTCAACCCTAATTCAAGTCCCGAACCCAGTGGCTTAAACTCATGCCAGGCACATGTGCATGTGTGCCCAAAATCCTGAGAGAAGAAGGGATTATGGCATGGCTATGCCCCGTGGGGTGTGATTTCTCACTTTCTATCTCTCTGGCAAGGACATGCACCCTATAGCAAAAATCTCAAAAGATAAGTAAATAAGTAAGCTTAGGTTCAAAGAGGTTGAAGACTTAGCTAAAATCATACAATCAGTGTTTCCTTAGGTCTCCTGATGGTCTATTCTCTACCTCTATGATTATTGCACATCTAACCACTCTGGATCTTTTTTCATATCTATTAAAGGAGATGGTTGAGAGTCCTTTCTAGGTCTAACACTTTATGTTTCTAAGCTCAACAAGTTTTTTTCTGTCTTGTCTTCTAATTTTTACATTTTAAAATAAAGATTCATTGATTTTTTTTTTCTGTGAGCAAGTGAGAGAGAAAGATAACATCCCTAACAGAGTCTTGATGTTGTAATCTAACTCGAGCCATAGCCAGTTCCAAATCATGGGCATGCATATGCCTGGTTTACTTAAGGAGGTCTCTTGATGTAAATCTGCAACCTTCCCATATGGGTTAGCCTCACAAGTGTCACATTTTACTATTGTGTCACTGTCCAGTCTCATTTTAAAATTTAAATTGAGCACATGACACTTCAGTTAATAATGAGTAATGTTAGTGTTTTTTCTTTCTAAAGACGAGATCTCACTTTGCTGCCTAGACTAGCCGCAAACTCACAATCCTCTTGACTCAGCCTCCAAAGTAGCTGGGATTACATGCATGCACCACTATACCAAGCTAGAGTGTTATTTTTTTTATGCCTTTAATAACCATATCCAGGTTGGGGCTGGCAGGTGGCATTGTGGTTAAGGGCACTGGACTCCCACATGATTGACCACAGTTTAAGTCCCAGACCTGGTGGCTTGCTTTCTGACTTTCTCTCTCTCTCTGTCCCTCTCTGGTCAAATTAAAACAAATAAATAAATAAAGTTAAATAAAATAATTCTAAAAAAAGAAAAAACAATTGAATACTTTTATGAAGGGTTATATATTAGAAGCTATGAGCATATAATTTTTAAAATTTTTTTGAAAGATTAACTTTAGAAATTATATAGTTTAAACCCACCTATTTTCAGATAAAACTAACATCCCAAGACATTAAGTGACATATATAGCGACAGAATAAGGATCAGTAACTGTGTCTCTTGCCTTCCAGACTAGGTAACATTTTTCCCTCATACAATGCTGGAACAGTAGGGATTCCAGACAACAGGTGATGAGTGCTGGCACATTCTCACTTCAGAAGTTAGGACTTGAAAAGAAATACAGCCATCGAATACAATGTGCTGCACATACTGCTAGTTGGCATAAAAGGACAAGAATTACTGTGTTACTTTTTTAGACTATACAATAAGGATAGGTTGTAAGCTTGCTGTTATTTATTGTTTTCCTGGGAAATACAATCCCATGTCCAAGGATTTTAAATCCCAAATTCAAAATACTTTACGTCTGTAAAATTTGTAGACAGAAAGGATATTTAAGTATTCAACTACTCAGTTTCAAAGCAGAATCCTTTTAGTAATCTGTATGTTTGCTTTTTCTTAATTTAATTAAATTCCCAGAGATGTATGTGTGCTTACCAGGAAGAGACAGAAATAGAGAGGGAGGAAAGCACCTCACAGTGGGTCATGTTCATGCCATAATCTCATCACCTCTGTTTCTCCATCCTATTGTAATTTGGATCACATATACATGCATACAAACCCAAAATATTTTCCAAGCTACTGGGGCTAGGATTTGAACCACAATCAGTCATGTGCTATAAGGTTTTCCTTAGCCACTAGGATACATGTAGTAGTGACTTAGTGACTGTAGGCCCCTTGCTGCATGCAGTCATGTTCGATTAATACCAGGTTGGAATGCAGGCCCAGTGGTAGAAAGTCTTTTTGGACTTTCAAAAAAAAAAAAAAAAACCCAGAAATATATATTTTTCCCAATTTTAAAATAAAGTCAACTTAAATTTAAAACCATTTTAAGTACTGTATGTACTAAAAACTCTGTGTCTTTAAGCCACATTGGGCCCTTCAGTTTATAATCTCTCCTTAAACAAAAAATGTTTTAGCAATCAATCCATTCAAACATTGCAACAAGTCAAATGGATTACTCCTTGTACTCCTGAGGCATTTGGAATTTGAAGTAAGGAAGACTTGCCACATTCTTATGGCATTTTCCTATCAGTACAACTTACTTAGTATAGATCTTCAGGTGAGGTATAGAGCAGCCATCTGATTGAAAGTTTAAGAACCCTGGGCCAGCCACGGTGGTAGAGTAGTAGTGTGCCATACCATGATGCTGAATCCGTATGAAAGATCCAGATTTGGAAATCAGGTTGACCTGTACATACTGGATGCACACACATAAGCCTGTGATCCTGGCTGGATGAGAAGACTGTGGGAGGATTGTGGCATGAGACTTTATTGAGCATGCCTGTTTCTCTCTATTTCCTCCCATGGAAGAACTAAATAAATAAACTTTTAAAAACAAACCAAAATTTGAGAACTCATGCCTTAACTTTGTTGCTCTAAATAAAAGATTAGCAATTCTCACACTGTTCCCTTGTCTTAGAATGCTGCAACAAGGCTCTGCAGACAGTGAGAAAGATGGAGGGCCCCAATTTGCAGAAGTGTTTGTCATTGTCTGGTTTGGTGCAGTTACTATCACCCTCAACTCCAAACTTCTTGGTGGAAACATGTGAGTATCATTACAATGGACCCTTTCTCCCTTCACAAGGTAGTATATCTTGGTTTTTAAAGAAGCCAGGCTAATTAGGTTTTTAAAAGAAAAAATAAAGATAAATAAGGGCTAAAGAGGGTTCCCTTAAAAACCACTGAATAATAATCTTCTAGTTAAATTATTTTATATTATTTGGAGTCCTTTGATAAGCTTCAGGTGCTTTCTCCAGCTCCTGAAATTACAAACAGAATTGTTTGTGTTAAAAGATTATGTACTTGGGGGGACAGAGAGTCCATAGCTTTCAACAAATTTTCAAATATGTCTATAAACTAGAAAGGATTAAGAGACACCATCTGAAATATTATACACCGTAAAGATATATGTGATTAAGTGTAATATTAAAAAAAGATAAATTTATACAGGGAGGAAAAATGAAACATCATCTTATAGAGTCAGTGGGAGAAGGAGGTCCCTAGGGATTAGAGCTCATCTCATATTAAATGGCTGATTCTTATGGGGAGTTTATTAAGTGACAAGGAAAAGTATGGAAAGAGAAAATTAAAATTAAATCGTGTGCTTAATACATAGGACTATTCTCATTAAAATAATGTGAGGGTATAGGTACAGGTTGAACACCCCTAATCTGAAAACCCCAAATCCAGAAATGTTCCAAAATCCAAAACTTTTAGAATATCAGCATGGAAAAACACCTGAACCTGTGTGATGGGGTATAGTGAAAAATCTGCAATGTGAAAATATTATATAAAATTACCTTCAGACTCTATCTGTAAGGTATATATAAAACAAATGAATTTCATGTTTAGACTTGGGTGCTATCCTCAAGACATCTTATTATATATATGCACATATCCCAAAATCTGAAAAAAAAAAAAAAACCCAACACCCAAAATACCTCTGGTCCCAAGCATTTCAAATAAGGGATTCTCAATAGGTAGTATGTATTACTGAAGAGATAAAAATCCCTGTTATGTAGAAAATCTTTGTAATAAACTGTGTTATAATACCAGTCAACTATATTTATGATTGTTACCAGTTTATATTGTTTTTAGATCTTTTTTTCAGAGCCTTTGTGTGCTGGGTTACTGTATACTTCCCTTGACAGTAGCAATGCTGATTTGTCGACTGGTACTTTTGGCTGAACCAGGACCAATAAACTTCATGATTCGACTTTTTGTGGTCATCGTGATGTTTGCCTGGTCTATCATTGGTGAGTATGTATTTAATATCTACAATAGTAGAACAGATAAAAACATGCATTAGAGATGAAGACTAGATGGGGAGCAGTGTAACTTCAGTCAGATGTGAGTAATAGGATTTCTGCCAGTGTCGTTCAGAAAGCCCTTTGATTTACATAGGCATTGATGAGGATGGTGTTCATTTTACCTGAGTTGGGTATCTTGACTTATAAGATGTTGGAGAGTCACCTCTCTTTTTCCCCTTAGATAATAAATACCTTTGGGAGAGTAGATTACACTAATGTTAGCTTAGTCCTGGTATATATGAGGCATAAGTGGCTTGTGATATGACTTGAGCCTTTTCCTAACAAACTACTCAAAATAATAGTTAGTATTTATGAATTGCTTATTATAGGCCAGGCACTGTTGTAAGTGCTTTTATGTATATTATTTCATTCAATCCTCATAGCAAACCTAATAGGTACTATTATTAGTCCTATCTTATAGATGAGGAACAGTTACAGAAAGGTTATACACTTTGTTCCAGGATACATGAATGAGTATGGGAGTCAAGTTTCAAACCCAAGTGGATGATCCACCCCGAAGAACTATACTACCTTATGGTGTAGGTTGTTAAGTATCATTATATAGTACTTTTATGTTTCAGTAGAAAAATTTTCTCAAGATTAGGAAGGGCCTATCATAGTGACATGAATGTGATATGTTCATTGTTTTTGCATTCTTTTTTTTTTTACTTGAGAGAGAGAGATTTTTGCTATAGGGCACATGTGCTCACTAGAGAGACAGAGAGATAGAAATCACCCCCAGGAGGATGGCCACCCCACAGTCCTTCCTTCTTTATTCTCCTCTCAGGATTTAGGGCATGCATGCATATGTGCCTGGTGTGAGTTTTAAGCCAACAGGTCTGGGACTCAAACTGTGGTCAATTACATGGGAGTCCAGTGACATAACCATTGTGCTATCTATTGGTCCTTTTTACATTCTTAAATTTGTCTTAAAATTGCAGTTTAAGGTAGAAGTGTTTACTAGCTTTTGATTTGATGGGCTAGGTATCAAATACTTCTAATATTTTTAAGTGTAGTCACATTGTTCTGGAATAAGGCTGAAAACTAAAAAGTAATCCAAAAAAGATCTGAGAAAGTCAAAATTGATATTTTAAAGACTGATGAAGCTTGGTACTTTACCATGGGAGAGTCTCTCATTACCTCACTTTGAGTCTGGTCATTTACCATATACATTTATTTCTAATTAACTTAGTTTCCAGTGTCCAGGCCCATACCAGATCAGAAAGTGGAGTCTGAATAAGAGAGAGTGGATTTAATCCAGAAAATATCTATCAGTACTCAGTAACAGGGGCTGTGCTAGGCATGGTCTCTGTGCTTGGAGTTCATGATCTAGTGGAGGAATCAGACATGAAAACACTGGAGAGTAGCAGTGCTCTGGTAGAAGATGGACATCTGTGCAGGGCACTGTGGGGGCACAGAAGGATCAGTGGGCAGTTTGTCCTCAGGTGGCAGAATACCAGGTGATTATTCAGGAAAGGTTTTCTAAGGATGATCCTTGACGAATGGAAACACTAGTTTTTCTTGGATTGACAAGAGAGATCACATTTAAGAGTCAGTAACTTAAATGGACAATTACTCTAAAAGTGCAGCAGTATGAGGCCTTTGACATAGGAGCAAATCATGTTATACATCTGTGTAAGCCTATTTAGCACAGTTTGACAACTTTCCAGAAAAGAATAAGAAAGCTTTTTTAGAAAAAATTCCATCCAAAATAGTTGAAAACTTTTAAAGCTTTAGTCACTTAAATAAGAAGTCCTCAGTTGTCTGAAAATTGTGCTATAGAATGTCTTTTTCTCTGAGGATCGCAAATATAATTGAAAATTTTTTTGAGAGAGAGATTTTTGCTATAGGGCACATGCATTCACCACTGGAGAGACAGAGACAGAGAGACAGAAAACAAGAAATCACCCCCTAGGGGGAATGGCCATACTGCGCTCTCTTTTCTTCCATTCTCTTTTTTGGATTTTGGGCACACACAGGGCACCTGGCTTAAGTTTTAAGCTGCTGGGTCCAGGGCTCGAACTGCGGTCAACTGCATGGGAGTCCAGCAATATAACTACTGTGCCATCTGCTGGTCCCATTACTGAACTTTCAGTGTGATTCTATGTTCCAGATTATGTCAAACACATTAAAGATTAGTAAATGTTAGTAGTTGTGATAATATTGTATTAAATATTCCTTTTTGTTTTGTTTTGTTTAGCCTCGACAGCTTTTCTCGCCGATAGCCAGCCTCCAAACCGCAAAGCCCTTGCAGTTTATCCTGTTTTCCTGTTCTACTTTGTCATCAGTTGGATGATTCTAACCTTTACTCCCCAGTAAATCACGAAATGACAATTAAAAGCCAATGAATTGAAAGTTCATCTGAAAGATGTAATACACCATGGAGCTTTGCCTTTGGCCCTCTAATTTTATTTGGCCTGTCTACTTTCAGGTATTTGTTAACTGGGTAGGTAAGGAAATTAAAAGGAAGCCATATAACATTGTTGCCACTTATGAAGGGAACTGATGTTTAAAAGGCTATCCTTTTTCTCTTAATTTCTTTCATTAAAATACATGTGTATATCACACACAGTATAATGCCTCCTTAAGGGTTGATGGAATTATTGTGATTGGTTTGGATGGCAGTCAGTGATCAAGAAGCAGACCCTACAAGTTGAATAGAGTTAGTAACTATTTTTCAGTTTTGAGAATACCAGTTCAGATATAGTTCTTAAACACATTGGCTTATGACTATTAGAATATTCCTCTCTTTTCATAAATAAGAAAGAATAATCTACATACATTTTCTTTTATTTCTCTCTCACACTTAAAAAGGCAATGACAAATGTTAGGAAAGGGGTTCATAGATATGAGAGGAGAAAACATACATTAATCAGTATTCAGATTTTTATCAGAGGAAATTCTACACTTGTTGCTTGAAAAAGGAAAAAAGAGCAAGGGCATTTAATGAGTCAGCCTCTGGGTATTTTTAGTATAGTAGCATTTCTGTCATGCTTAACACGTTGGTTGTCATGTGAATTTTTAGTCTCGTTCCCTAGCTCTGAATACACAATCTAAGATGTTAGTAGTCAACATGTAATTTTCCTTTGACTGAAGTTTCAGTGTTCCAATGCTAGAACTTATCCAAGTAGCAGACCTCAGAAATATATTAATAGATTGGTAGGTCCCTAATGCAGATTATGTGTATACCTTCTCTTAAGGGTAGAATGAGTCAGTTGGATACAGCATAGTTATAACGAACTCTTCCTAATATTCTCTGTGGTCAGGCCTCTAACTAGAAAGTAAAGCTGTATCAGAAACCTTCACTTAGCCATGTGTACACAGAGGGATTTAGTGTTCTAATGACTGTTTAATAGTACAGTTAAATGTTCTGGACCTGACATAGGATAAGATGGGTTTATAGCTGCTGCCTTTTCATAGGGATTTAGCAGTTTTTCCATTACATATGTTTTTGGGGTTGGAGAATAACAATTTATTTTCTTGGTTTAGATTTTATTTGTAAAGTTAATTAGCTCTCCTATGGGCAAGCACATTTTGCACATGTGCACCTACTTACACTCTCAGATATTTATGCATACCGGTGTGAAGGATTTTCAGGGAATAGAGCATCAAGGATAGGCTGATTCTGAGCTAAACAGGGCTCCTGTAAGGTAATCTGAGCTATTGCCTTTTATAAATTGTACATTGAAGAACTCTAATAGACAAAGATTGTAAGTCAGGCAGAAACATTCATTGTAAATATATACTTACTTATAAAGCTATGAATTGCTTTTTTTAAGAGATGTTTTTACTATAGGGTGTGTGCATTTGCCAGAGAGACAAAGAGAAAGAGAGACAGAAAAGAAATCACCCCCTCACGGGAGATAGCAACACCACAGTCCCTCCTACTCCATTCTCCTCTCGGGATTTTGGGCACACATGCACACATGCCTGACATGAGCACTTTTTTCTTTCTTTGGTGGGGGGAGAGGTTTTTGCTATAGGGCGTGTGTGCTTGCCAGACAGACAGAGAGAGACACAGAGATAGAAAGCGAGAAATCACCCCCCTGGGGGGATGGCCATGCCGCAATCCCTTCTCCTCCATTCTCCTCTTGGGATCTTGGGCACGCACGCACGCACATGCTCCTGGTGTGAGTTTTAAGCCAGGAGGCCGGGTCCGGGACGTGAACCACGGTCGACTATATAGGCATCCAGCGACATAGCCATTATGCTAACTGCTGGTCCCCATGCTTCTGATGAAATTTAAGCATGTGAGCACCACTATAGAATGTAGTACACCACTTCAGTTATGAGTAATCGCTTGCTGCTTCTGCTTCTGAGACCAAGACTCTGTTATATTCCTTAGCAATAGGAAGGGTGAAGACTGGATTTAATTGCTGCTCAGATTAGAAACACTCAGCTAATGCCAACATATTTGAATGTGCAGTATAGTCTTAAAAGTCAACTCTTGGGAACCTTTTGGGAACCAGCAGTTAGCGTAATGGCTATGTCGCTGGACTACCACGTAGACGACCGCAGTTTGCGTCATCTTAAAACTCACACCGGGTGCATGTGCGTGCGTGCCCAAGATCCCGAGAGGAGAATGGAGGAGTAGGGATTGTGGTGTAACCATCCCCCGGGGGGTGATTTCTCGCTTTCTGTCTCTCTGTCTCTGTCTGTCTGGCGAGCGCACGCGCCCTTTAGCAAAAACCTCTCCAAAAAAAAAAAAAAAAAGGCAATTTTTAATCATTAAATCTTTTGCCTCCTAAGAATTTTATAATGTGAGTTGAATTTGATGTTAAGCAAGGTTGGGTCACAGACAATGTTATTGGTAAGCATTTTATTGTTTATTCTTTTTGTCTTTTTAGAAACAGTATCGCCCAAAATGTGATTAGAAGGTTAGCAAACCTGTATTTGGAGATATAATTGTATACTTTATATAATTTAACTACTTACTATATTTGGACTGCCTATTTTGTTTCCTTGGAAACAAAGATGAAAATCTCCTGTTGTTTCAAATTCTTGGGTAATGTTAAGTCATTGGAATTTATCTAAAGCCTATCATGATGTCCATTGCATGTAGCTTGTTTAGTCTTGTGGAAAATGCTGAAATTGTGATTACTAGTTAGACTGTTAGTTTCTAAGACATTTGGATGAAAATATGTGAATATTAATACATGTGTGTAAATTAGAGACACTTTTCTAGATTCTGTGGGCTTTTATTAAAAGAGAATTTCTAAGGATTTACTTAGATCATAAGACGGCCAAATAATAATAATAATGACAATATTAGTACTAATAATACCTCACATTTATTAGGTACTTATGTGCTAGGCACTTTTCTATTTTAAGAATTTGTTTATAACAGCTTTATTGAGATGCACTTTATCATGAAATTTATGCTTGTGAAGTTTACGATTCAGTGGTTTTTAGCATATTCACAAAGCTGTACAACCATCATCACTAATTTTAGCACATTTTTACCACACCACAAGAAAACCTGGTATCCATTGGCAGTCACTCCCTTTCCCCCTTCACCCCAGCCCCTGGCAACCAACAATCTGTTTTCTATATTGGTTTGACAGAAACTGTTCTTCGGTACCTTTTTTGCATCTCCTCTAATCCTTATAGTACTGCGGTTCTCATCTCACAAGTAGAAAGTTGAGTCATGGAAAAGTTAATTGTCCAAGGTCACACAGCAAATTGATTTACAACAGGAATAACATTAGATGAGAGTATAGTAGGACATAATTTTAAACTGCATTTTATGTTGTTCACTTTTGTAGCCTAGAACTGTGACTGGAGGTAGAGTACTCTGTTTTTTTTTGTTTTTATATCCACTATATCAGCAGCATTGGTGAACATGAGCAGTCATACGTTGGGAAGTGTTAGGTTTGCTGCCCTCACCTGTCTTTGAGCTTCTTTTCTCTTCCTTCTGTTTTTTCCATCACCACCACACATAAATACTCCATTTTCTCAGTCTTAAGAATCAGACTCTTCTGCCTCTTCCTTTTTAGTTCTCCCAGAAGGATGGTTGATGTTATCTTGTCTAGCCAAGGGATATATCTGGTTGTTTATCGAGCCAGTTATATTTTAAGACTTCAGAGAGGTAGTGCAAAAATAGAATGCCTTTTCATCTGAGCTAAATTGGGGTGAAGGAAGAAATAACAGTAGGGGCCAGCAGATGGCATGGACTCTCTCATGGCTGACTATGGTTTGAGTCCTGAATCTGATGGCTTGATTTCTCATTACCCCCTTCCCCCCCCCCCTTTCTCTCTCTTTCAATCTCTCTCTGGTGAGCACACATGCACTGTAACAAATTAAAGAATTTTATGCTAATGATAAATACAATAAATAATTCTTTGAAAAAAAATAACAGAGTAAAAGCTTTGCTAATGAAGTCAGTGTTCCCAACTGGCAGGGTGTGGCCACATGCTGCTCTTACTCTGTTCTCTTTTCAGATTCTTGGTACTTTGTGCCATTACTGCTGGTAATTTCTTGATTCTTTCAATAGTCCATTTAATTCTTTCCTATAAATAGTGAAATCTGTGAAAAGAAGAAATCTGCAAAATGGTTTGTGAGTGTTAAATGTACAAATAAAGAACACTGGAAAAGGAGAATTTGTATATGTCTATCATTGTGCTAAAGGCACAAAGATACTTGCTACCTACAAATTTCAGATGTAATTTTCTTTTTTTAACATTTAAAAAATTTATTATTATTTATACATTCAATCACTATACATCATTTAGATTGTAAAGAGACTTTACCCAGCATGGTATATAACTCAGTCCAGCCCAATTGAGACTACTACGTTTGAAAAGTCATGATGCATTTTTATATTGAAAAATTATCCATCATGACTTTTCCAACAACTCTATATTGTCATTAGACAGTATTGAATGCTGTGAAGGATTGCACAGAAGGAGCAAGTTAGAAAGGGGAATCGGGACCAGCAGTTAGCGTAATGGCTATGTTGCTGGATTCCCACGTAGTCGACCATGGTTCACGTCCCGGACCCGGTGGCTTAAAACTCATGCCAGGTGCGTGTGTGTGTGTGTACCCAAGATCCCGAGGGGAGAATGGAGGAGAAGGGATTGTGGCGTGGCCATCCCCCCTGGGAGGTGATTTCTTGCTTTCTGTCTCTCTGGCTCTGTCTGTCTGTCTGGCGAGCGCACGCGCCCTGTCACAAAAACCTCTCCAAAATAAATAAATAAATAAATAAATAAGAAAGAAAGAAAGGGGAATCAACTTTATTTAGTAAATACAATATACCATGCACTTTACTAACTGCTTTATAAACAGTGTATCTTGTCACCATAGCAACCTTTTCAGTATCATCCTTTATCTTAAATTTGGCTCAGGGAATTTAAATTGTCCAGAGTTACAGAATTCAAATACAGTTTTTATGATTCCAAAACCTCTTTCCTATATCAGTCCCTTGCCTCCTTAACTGAAGCTAAGCCAGATCAATCAGGCAACTTTAGGAGTGAAGAAACGGTTTTCAGCCTTTTGCTGAGGACTATGCCTCTTTGAGCTCTTGGTTTATTCTCTGCTTAAAGAAACCAACTTCCCCTCTGCCATACACATAATGGTTGAAGAGGATGGGTATTCCAAATGGTAGAGGACTTTGGCGTCTTTGGTAAGAGGGAGTAAGCAGATCTGTAAAACTGTCCAGGAGCATTTGTAGCACATTGTCCTATGCATAATCACAGTGCTTTGTGACACTGTTTTTCTTTTAATTTATCTTTTAATTTTTATTTTCACTCTGGAGTAAGTGAGCTACTCTGGACCTTGTGAGCTTATTAAATTAGCTAAGAAAATTGGCTCAGAGAAGTGAGGTTATATGCCCTGAGTTACAAAGCCAGTCTCAAGAATACAACTGGGAAGTTGTTCTTTATGTTAATACAATCTTTCCTTTTCTGATGGGAACTCAAAACACTGAAATGAATTCAATTGAATTGGGAAATCAAAGTTGGTTGGCTGGGCCAGCAGGTGGTGTGAAGGCTGGGGCTGTGGGATTCCATGTGGCTGACTACAGTTTAAGTCCTTGACCTGGTGGCTTGAAGGACACACCATGCGTGAGAGAGTGTGTGTGTTTTTATGTGTGGGGGTTTTCCAACATCCCAAGAGGTGAAGGGTACTATGGCCATGGCCCCAAGGGATGCCTTTTCACTTTTCCTCTCTTTCTCTGTCTCTTAGGCAAGTGTACAAGCCCCATACCAAACTAAGAAGAAAAAAGTTAGTTGGATAAAATTAGACTCAATTATTGAGGGTAGGTTTTAAAAACCACAGAACTGTAAAATCAGATCTTACCATGGTAGTATATAGGGCCCTTTAGGGGAGTATCTTAACAAAAGTAACTTTAAAGGAATAAATTAGGACATGGTGATTAAATTGGATCGGGAGGAGGCTAGAGGAAGAAAGGAATGCCAATATACAGATTCTTCTTGACTGATGATGGAGTTACTTCCTGATAGAGTCCTCAGAAGTAGAAAATACCGTAAGTTGAAAATGCATTTAATATAACATATCATAGCTTACCCTAATTTGTTAAACATTCTCAGAACACTTAAATTAGCCTACAGTTGGGCAAAATCTAACTCAAAGCCTATTTTATAATAATGTGTTGACTATTTCATGTAATTTATTGAATACTGTCTGAAAGTGTGAAACCTAAGTGGTTGTATGGGTATCTCCAAGTTTAGTTTATT